GTAATTTTTATGCAGGACTAACCCGACCACGCGACATCGCCTGTCCGGCAAAACTTTTTTCGTGTGATTGTTCGGCAAAAATTACCGCACTTCGCTGATTTTCCGATTATCCCATCGCGGTCGGCGAAACTTTTTTTGAATTATGTAAGATTTGCCCATTATCCCATCGCTCGGCGAATCTTTTTGAATCTGTTGGCCAGTTGGCCCGGATCCGATGTGATAATCGCGGCTGCATATGCGTGGTAGGTGGTAGGTGATATTGTTCATGTATGTGACTGACATGTGAGATTGTCGATGGGTTGTTCACCGGTACGATATGCCGGTGAACAATCTGTCGATAGCCATCATGTCACGCGAAGGGATTGGGCAGTCGGCAATCGATACTTATCTTTTTATTAGAAGGGAAGTGGCAAATGCATATCGATAACAATTGTGCTGAACGATAGGCGGACTACCACGTACACCGCAGGCTGTTGCTCAACCAATAGGCTGTCCTTAAAAGTTATCGATAAAAATTGCGCGCTACGATAGGCTTTGGCAGAAACCTATCGCATTCCTTCGAGGCCGTAAACAGGTGCTGGAAATTCCTGCCGCAGCCGGTCAGGATGCACCAATATGCACCCCGTGGGTGTATCAAACCCTATCAAATTGGACCGATAAGACAACACGGCGATAGGAACTTATCCTTATCTAGATAGTTTTTGACTTATCGTCCAAGGTGTGGTTCTAGTGGGTAGCCGTGCAGCCTGCTAAGGGCCAGGTCATGGGTTCGAGTCCCGGCAGAATGAGTTTTTTTCTCACTGCATAAATCCTGGTCTAGGATGAAAGCGACGCGCTGCAAAGCTCGTTTGTTAGTAAACCATAATCGACTTCGTAAGTCGCGAGGGAAGGGATTGCTGTACCCTTCTCTCGCGATAAAAATACCTCAGGCATGAACCGCAGGAGGGGGTCCAACCCCCCTCCCATGTGACCCCGGTCGGGTCGTCTAGCTAGTAGAAGTGGAGGATAGGGGCCAGAGGGGTAGACGACAGAGTCCAATGATGGGAGAAAAACAAAACAACAAAATGTTTGATTACCACAGATGCCGGATGTCTTCAGGTTGACAATGCTGCAGCTCAAGCTGGTTTTAGAGCAGAATATATATGCTGAAGCCTTGAATGACCTCTCTTTCTTTGAATCGCTCATAGACGCCATAGAATCGTACATTCATTGGCGATTTATGTCATGAGCTCAAAGTGCCACGCGATGACATTGAGGAATGGGAGGATATTTTGTACGACGCGATAGAACAAAAAGTGACTGACGCGGACAGGAGGGAGGTTGCTAAGCCTCTTACGGGCCACATAGATTTTGCTGCAGCTAGGACATCTTTTCAACAATTGCACAAGAAGGTGGTGTTTACGAGAGTCGACAAAGCGGCCAACTGCATCTGTATCACTTGCAAGGCGTGCTATATTAGGTTAGTCAAAGCAGAACTTGAAGGACCGGGGTATAGGACAGTACACGGAGAGTTGGAGCTGGTGAAACAGACGACCATTGACCGACAACACAAGTTTTTGCTAGATTAAAAGTTGCCCATCCCACAGCAGCAGTACAAAGACGAGGATGGTGACACTCAGCATGAAAACACTGAGAAGTTAACCACACGATACCTCACTGCTAAACTACATAAGCCGTTGGTAGCGACACGTGGAATCACGGCTTGTTGTGGTACGATCACAGAAGGGGTGGTCAAGGTAGTCAA